GCTGCCAGATAACCTAACCCAACCCATACTACACACAGTCACAACCAACCAACAGTGACTTATGACTTATTACTTGATGTGTTTTATTGAATAGTATACTTAAGTCCTTCCTTATTCACCAATTTAATATATATCTGTACCTTTACCTACACCAGGTCCAGTTACCAAGCAAAGTCAGACTGCAGAAAGGTTGAAAAAGGAGTTCCAGAGGCGGATTGCAAGCGAGGTCAAGTCAAATCTAAAGGCATGTAGGTGTATCTGATCTGAGGCTTGAAGATGGTAAGTACACAGATTCAGATCAGGACAAGGCAGAGGCATTAAACAAATTTGTTTCCTCAATGTTCACAGAAGAGGATGAGAACAATCATAAGAGTCCCAGCCCTGACATGATGCGCCCCAGAGTGCTAATAGAGTTGTGCAATGTTCTCCACAAAACAACCTTGTAAAGGACTGCCAACACAGTTTTAAGCCAGGACACTCCTGCTTGACACAATGACAGAAGATACTGGATGTGTGGATCCAAATTCTGGCATAAGGTAGCAATATCGACAATATATATCTGGATTCTGACAAGGCTTTTGACAGTGTGCTCCACGAAAGGCTGAGAATTAAACTAGAAGGGTATGGGATTCGGGGAAGTGTCCTAGCGTGGATCGGAGACTTTCTTCTTGACTGCAAACAATGTGTGTTGATTAATGGTATGAAATCTTCTTGTGTAACCATGACAAGCGGGGCCTGTTGTTGTTTGTTTGTTTCATAAATGACACTCTGGAAGCTATACACTCCTCCATATAAATGTTTGCAGACGATGTCATGTTATTCAGGGAAATTAAGAAGCAAACAGGCTGTGAAGAGCTACAGAAAGATCTCTGTTACGATCAATGTCATGAAGAGTAAGATAATGCACCTAAATTGTACCAACAGTAAGGAGGCGTATCCCATGTCCTAACGGAACAAAGAAACAGCATTAGAAGAGGTCAAATGTAAAAAGGACCTGGGAGTGTATGTTGATAACGAACTGAAGTTCTCGGGCCATTGTGGGAAGATGGTGAATCAAGCAGCTTATCTAGTAGGTCTTATAAGAAGGTTGTTCAGATATCTAGACAGTCCATCCCTCATAACGCTATTCAAGATTGAGGTGCTTCCCCGTCTGGAGTACTGTCACCCCATTTGATCCCTGAGATATGCTACAGACTGTCAGTTGATTGAAAATGTCCAAAGGAGGGCCACCAGACTGGTGCCTGCACTATGGTACCTCAGTTATCCAGAGATTAGAACGGCTGCAACTGCCTAACTTATACTACAGATGGGCGAGAGGTGACCGAATTGAAGTATATAAACATCTCAAAGGGCACTACGCAGTCGAGTGCCCATATCTGGAACTGGTAGATACCCGCCCCATAAGGGGTCACAGCTCTAAGTTGAAGAAGCCACAAGTCCAGAAAACTGCAAGGGCAAACTTTTTCAGAGTGAGAATTGTAAATTCTTGGAACAATCTGTCAGAGAGTGCTGCAGTGGCAGTGAGTGTGAGCTCTTTCAAGACCAGATTTGACCAAGACAGGAGCAGGAACAGATACATTCAGGAACCAGTACATGCCCAGCACTTGCCAAAAATGCAAAACAGAGATGTGACCGACCGCCCAAGCGATCAGTGGTGAAGAGGATAAAAGTAAAAAATAAAAGCATCTGCACGTGTGCCTGTATCAATATCTGTACCATTATCTATACCTGTACCTGTATCAATATCTGTACCATTATCTATACCTGTACCTGTATCAATATCTGTACCATTATCTATACCTGTGCCTGTATCAATATCTGTACCATTATCTATACCTGTACCTGTATCAATATCTGTACCATTATCTATATATGTACCTGTATCAATATCTGTACCATTATCTATACCTGCACCTGTATCAATATCTGTACCATTATCTATACCTGTACCTGTATCAATATCTGTACCATTATCTATATATGTACCTGTATCAATATCTGTACCATTATCTATACCTGTACCTGTATCAATATCTGTACCATTATCTATACCTGCACCTGTATCAATATCTGTACCATTATCTATACCTGTACCTGTATCAATATCTGTACCATTATCTATACCTGTGCCTGTATCAATATCTGTATCATTATCTATACATGTGCCTGTATCAATACCTGTACCTGTATCTATACATGTGCCTGTATCAATATCTGTACCATTATCTATACCTGCACCTGTATCAATATCTGTACCATTATCTATACCTGTACCTGTATCAATATCTGTACCATTATCTATACCTGTGCCTGTATCAATATCTGTATCATTATCTATACATGTGCCTGTATCAATACCTGTACCTGTATCTATACATGTGCCTGTATCAATATCTGTATCATTATCTATACCTGTACCTGTATCTATACATGTGCCAGCACCTCTTTGTATTGTCAAAGATATCTATAAAACAGGGTGATAAGTAGTTGAGAAATCTAGGTTCCCAAACCCTTTGTCCACAACCAATAACATTCCTGACTACGACATATTGTGTAAAGACCACGGTCATACATGTCAGTTAACGTAAAATCAGATGATTCGTATTACGTCCGAGGAGTCCGTTTTCTCATTACTTCAGGACGCCTGAGTCCTCCGTTTTCCCTCAACCTTAGAGTGCACCCGAGACTTCATTATTCCTTAGTGATGACAGAATTTGAAATTGCAACTGTGGTTGCAATTGGTGAGACAACTTACTGTAGATATGTCTGTTTACAGTTGGAACATTCAAGATCCATTATGAGTGGTGTTGAAAGCTTCAACTGTCCTTATTGTTAGTTAAACTTGTCAAGTAAGTGAGTGTCAAGTTTGTCAGTATGAATAGCATATCCTTAGAGTGTCAATGGGGATAGCCATGAGTTTCTCAGTGCTACTGAAGTTAGATTTTTTGATGCCCAAACATCAGAGAATCGGATGTTTGTAGTTTAGTTAGTGTCAGTTGTCTATTTTAGAAAGTCATTAATCTACTGAAAAGATTCTGTCAAACTCAAAATCTCCAAGACCTAACGGCTGTTCTCAGGAAGAACTCTTTGGCTGTGGTTTGTGGTTTCCGGCAAGTAGAGTTGTTAGTGCGTCTTTAACGTCCATTTCACTTTTATCCTGATAAACTCAATCTCTGATTAGATTATAAAAAAATAGACGTAGGAAATTAGCCTGACCAGTGACACTGACGGTCACAGCCAGGTGTACAGCGACCAATTTGTATAGAAGGTCTGTTGTTAGTGAGATTAGTCTTTCTGGTATGTATGCGGGGGCCGGAACTGCCCCCAGGCTCACGTATATACGGATGCACGAGGAAAAATCACACATTAGTGACTCTTCCTCAACGCATCTCCAGGTATGTAAACGATTGTTTCCCGCCGCCATGTTTTAACATAGTGAAATTCTCATGTCCTAAATAGTTCGAGTAACGTAAATGTCGTCTGTATCATTGCCAGACGTATGTTTTGTATCGTTGAAGTTAGACATTTACACATTCGTAACTCTTCCTCAACGCATCTCCAGGCACTGTTTGTGTTGTCACCACTACTGAGGTGCGGTAGCCGCCTATGGGCAAGATTGTCATGGTAGGATGTCTTTAATAAGGCAAAACTAGGATCGGAGAGCGGGCCAAGGAAGACACGTGCTCTAATACTGTCTATTAATCTTGACTATATGTATTGAGCAGGATTGGTATCTATGATTGGGAAGTAACTAGCCGAAATATAGTTATCCCAGGTTAAGTATTGACCCCATGGATGTTAGTGTTACCAGCGGTACTGTTATTATCGGAGTTGAGTCCACCCACCACTGACTGCTGGTTAAAAGTGCCATGTTGTTCCTTCCGAACTAACAGGATGTATTTGGTATTATTTTAATTGTGGATTTTGTCGAGTGTGTTATGTATTTATCTGTATTGACAATGAAGTAATACCCTGAGTGTGTAATGTTGTTATCAAGAATGATCTATTTTGCTACTAATGTAAAGTCAGACCTAAGGGGTCCAGTCTAATCTGAGTGAACTTAATTAACATCTTATTCACGCCTTATGTTAATAAATATTAAATTAGTAAACTACGAGTATCACCACTCTATCCCTTCTACCCGTCGGTTCTCGAAAAATAACTAATAACTCACGTGCCTAAAAGCTCGCTACCTAACAGTTCCATGAGCTATGTTATATTCTAATAAAAGTCTGGGTGGTGGCAGGCTACCGTGGTAAGTAGAATAAGTATTGTACTAAGAATGATATGGTTCCCCAGACTGATCCATGGTTTAGAATATAACTACAATACTATATATGAAACAAGAAATGAAGCAAAGAAATATAAGAGAAACTTATATAAGAATATAAACAAAAATATAAGTATATAAAAGTATTGAAGAATAATAACAGAAAGGATAGTATAAAGTAAGGAAAGTGTTGCCCTTACAACTGTACTTGCTGGGATGGTTACACCAAGAGTGTGTGTCTGTGTCTTGTGAATGTGAGTACAGTATATAATAAAAGGTTTTCTGAAGGCACCGACAGCAATGGTGAGAAGTTTGTACCTGATACTGGCAGCTCAGAATAAAGTTAAAAAATTTCAAAATAAACTTATAACAATTCCATAGAGAAAACTTACAGGAGGAAGTGAAGACACACTTCTTCATTAGTAATGATAATATAAGTTTTTCATGTAATAAGAAACATAAAGAATGTTATGAATTTACACTGTTGTTTATAAACCTCTAAACTTGTTGTTATGTAGCACAAAAAAACAGTCTTTATGGGATTTGTTCAGAGATATTTAATAAATACTGAAGCTTTATAAACTGTCATAAGATAAACATATCAGTTTATAAACAAGACCTGTTAATAAATGAAAAAAGTAATGTAATTTGACTTATTCTTATCTATTGTTAATTACTAATAAAACTGTTATGCTGAATAAGTGTAAACATAAAAGTAGCACTGAATTACCTGAGCATAGGATCAGAGGCAAGTTTCTCATATACAGTCTGAGAAGGAATGCCTAGAATACGGTCAATGATGTGAATTACTCCATTTTTGGCAGCAATGTTTGGTGTTGTTATGGTGGCATTCACACCACCTCCCTCCATGGACACTACAGGAACGGGCTTGTTTTGTTGGTTGATGGCAAAATAAAGTTTGCGGTGTTGAATAGTTTCCTCCTGGAAGATCTGGCATTAGGGGGAGAAACATTCCTGTCAGGCATGCAAAGATGCGCGAGCTCAAGCATGACCTTGTTTGACTAAAGAGGCCTGGGGCACAACAGAGACAGAGCTAAGATAGGTCAGTGGTCAACAATACTGGAGGACAGAGAGAGTGAGAGAGAGAGACAGTTGAACAATAAGTCCACACACCATTTCTAAGCACACTCAAGTTGTACAAATAATTACAGAAACCATCATAGACATAAATTAATTTTGCAAACAGATATATCAATTATCAATCCATACTAAATATAAGAACAGTTTTATAAAGCTCCAAATGTATTAATGTAGAAAGTGTAATAAGTTAGTAATCCAATAAAAGTGAAAGTGTAATAAGTTAGTAATCCAATAAAAGTGAAAGTGTAATAAGTTAGCAATCCAATAAAAGTGAAAGTGTAATAAGTTAGTAATCCAATAAAAGTGATCAACTCAAAGAAGGTGCTTACAAAGTGCAGATTGTTTATGTGATACCTGATGGACTCCTGCAGACAATACAATATAACTCTTAATATACAAAGACAAATAAACACACTAAGTTTTTTCATTCATTTACTAATTTAACAGTAGTATTAAACCTGTGTTGTTTTCTCCTCTTCGCCATTTGTCGAGATTTTAGTCGTCCTCTGACCTGTCCCTTTGTGTGTGAACCAGTGATGTGGGTCTTACACTTACTGGCCTCAACTATATCACTAGAAAATTCCTGAATCTGCTTCTGTCCTTGAGAACCAGCACACCACTTTAAGAACACCTTACCCCTCCCTCCCTCCAGTCATACATAGGGTGTGAACTCTTGCCTTTTATTCAATCACTTTTATGTAACTCGTCCTCCATATTTCAAGTGATGCCCTACACTTCTGTTGCCTCATCCCCTTCCTCTCTCATATTTTTTAGGTAGTGCTTTATCTCTGACTTCATTCAATCTATCATGTACAAGTACTAAACAAAATACCTCTATATCTCTCTCTAATCTGTTATATTTAGCATTGTTAAAAATTAATCTCATACATTACATCTCTTTTATTTCTTTTTTCTTTTACTTTTGCTTTTATCCTCTTCACCACTGATCGGCTCGTTATCCGCTTGGGTGATCAGTCACGTCTCTGTCACGCACTGTTGGCAAGTACTAGTCATGTACTGGCTCTCTGATAATCACTGTTGGCAGGTACTGGGCATGCACCCTCCTGAATGTACCTGAACCTGCCACCAATTTATACTGCCCATTCTGGGGTCACTAAATATATCACGTTTTATTTTTATCTTTCACTCCTTTTTTTTTACCCTATTCTCATCCCTCCAAAACAGGTTCTTATTCTCTAAACTTTCCCTTATGTCTGTATATGTTTTTTTGATCAATCTAAAATGCGACGTCTAGCTTTATACCTAGGAATATAAATGCGTTGAACAGTTTCCCATCTTCTTTAACCTTTCCTTGTTCACACTTCCCTTGTAGATATGTTCACCTTGTCACCTCAATAAGTTCTTTCACTTTTTAGCTAAATTTGATTGTCTTCAGTTCATAATTTTTTATAACATTCTCACTTCTCTGAACACCTCCAATCTGAACCCTCCAATCTGAACCCTTCAATCTGAACCCTTCAACCTGAACTATCCATTTACACTATCAATCTTGTTTCTCTTTATATAATCATCAGATGTTTGGTCCTCAGGCTATCCCCACCCTGAATGTAGCTCCTCTTAGTAGTGAATTATACCTATATATATACAGGGTATAATGTATTCCAGGTCCAAATTAACAATACTGGTAATTTAATACTTGTTCATGATGTGAGGTTCAGTTCTATGTTTTAAAATCTGGTACTGTATGTACTACTACTATTACCAACAAGGAGCAATTGATTTACATTAAAGAGCAATGGCATATAATTACTGTAACTTATATACAGGTATACTGTATTGTAAGATTTTGAGACAAGAAATACTGCACTGGGTTTCAAATTTCAGTGCACCTTTGTTGACATATATCGTAAGTTCAAGGCTTGGTTTTATGTTTGTAAAACATTCATGACGTCCACCAGGTTCACATAGTAAAGTGATTATAGTTTATTTGTTTTTCTTACACTACACAACCAGAGAAAATATAAACCCATTACGTAATGAATATAAATATACTGGGCCTCCGAAGAATATCTCAATACTGTACTGAAAATAAGAGTACTGTAATGATAATTTGGTACCTAAAAAATTATTTCCTGCCCACAAAGTGGATTAGTCCTTGAAAATTACTAGTTATTTTAACTACAAAATACAGTGGCATTTGTCATTCATTATGTTGTTTACATCCATCTATCTTGATCAAATATACTACAGTAAATGGCACATCTCAAGCAGAGATACAGTACCTTAATCCTCGGTGAGGAACACCTACACTAACAACACTTAATAAAGGTCACCCCATTCTGTGTGTGATAAATATGATTTTTTGGGGTTAACTTTCTAGCCTAAAGTTCCCTCCTTTCTGATCTGGAGCTCCTAATACACATCAGCTAATAGATAACACTGAGCTATAAAAGTTGAAAGCTAAAGAAAGTAACTGGAACAAGTCTAACATTATGTAAATTTAAGACTTGTTATATTTTACATTATCATTCTCAGAAATTGCAGGTGACACAGCCTTTCATACATGGATCAAGTCAGGAGCAAAACTTATGTGGCTTCTAAAATTCTACCAAGTGAGAACAATAATCAAGAGGAGAACATGAAGACTGGTCAGTATCACTTGGATCCTCTGTAAGCAAGACATCTATAACATACTTTTCTTTTCTTTCTGTTGGAAAATGTGACCAGCCCTGCCGTAGGTTAATTCTATAGACATCGGTCACAACTGTACCAGCCATGAAGTGACAGATTTTTATATTATTCTGCCTTCATATACAGTACTGTAAGTCACATATACAGTATCCACTAAGCATCTCAAATATGTAAGTAAGAGTTCTCTCAGAGTAAAGCCTTCAAAATCATTGGGTTTAAATTATTATATGAAAATGTAAATATAGAATTAAAAGGTCTACCTGAGAGTGGAGTTTATCATTTAACATCACAAGTTCAATATTAATGATTCTTACCACTTAATGAAGATGAACCGGACACTGAGGTAAGTCAAATATTCCTGAAAGTCTCAGAGACGATAAACTAATACATCATTCCTTTAGTATAAACAATTAACAATATAAGCCAGATCAACACTGCTAGACCTACGGAGGCACCAGAGGAGGGTTAGGAGAACACTGAACATGCGTCAGAGGATATTAGCTTAGCAAACACTGAGCTACAACACTGCAATCAAGCCATGCAAAGCAACATTATATAATATACTGTACAGGGTATATGGTATCATAATCAAATATACATGTACACAACAGGGAAAATTTCCTATGTACCTTCAATCACATTAAGGGTTAGTAATCAATGACTGCTCCTAACACGTACAGTAAGTGATATTCCCGTTAGCCGGAATAATTGGTGTAGAGCACTTCCGGGAACGAGAGATTTCCGGGTAACGAGACGACTCTCTCAGAGCCGGAAAAAAATCCCTTATCCCCGGAATTTTCCGGATAAATGAAAAATGTTCTCTGAAGTTCCAGAAATTGCCCATTACAGCATCTCTTGAACCCGGAAAAATATCCCCCATCCCCGAAATTTACCGGAAAATGCGCCCGATTTTCATCTCTCAAACCTGGAAAAAAACTCCCCTATCCCCTGAATTTTCCGGGTATCGGGAAAATTTTCTCAGAATTTTCCAGAAAATGTGCCCCTTGGAAAATCTTCTCCAAAGCCGTAATTTTCTGGAAAATTCTGGTTTTGAGAATGACTTTACGAAAAAATTTCAGTTCCGGCTATCAAAGAGTTCCGGGTTTGAGGGATTCCGGCTAATGGAGATATTACTGCACTTGTAATTTTGCTAAGCCGTGATATCTAAAATTCCTACACTGTAACAGCAGCAGTTTGCATTTCTGAATGGCATACAGGTTGCAATGGAAAGCCATGGGCATAATTGTAATGATCTGCAGTGTTAACTTTACTCTTCATTCAATAAAGCAATATCTTAAATGAAGCCGTGCTTCTCTCATGTACTGTACTGCATTTGCACTATAACTAAATGATGCAAATTTTCAGTTTTAGTTATAATGAATTTCAATAAACCCTTTCAATGGAACAATTCATGAATGCAGATGAAGAAAATCTTATTCTTAGTTCCAACTCATTTTATTCATCTGACTCTAACTTAAGCAATTAAATCTTCATCACATGAGGAACAAATGCATTCACAAATAATATCTCCTTGAAATAATAATACAATGCATGTAAGTTTTGAAACGTTCAAAACTGCTTAACATGCTGTGAAAGGCATTAAAATAAATTTATTCCAATGTGGTGACTTTGTGGTGAATTATCTGTATATTTGTGATAACCTAAATTTTAAGTGTTGATCTGGGTGACCAAGTCCTCCATCTGCACTGCACTTCACACCCCTTGTGGCACAAAGCTACAATTGGCATGAATCAACTTATACTGTACTGTACACACCCTTATAGTAGATCATGTCTCAGAGGCAACAGTAAATTGAGTGCTTAATTTGGAGTACTTGCTGAAGGCACTGTCACCATGATTGTTTACAAAAATATCCATAATGATATTACTAGGATAATGGGACAGGTTAGAGGCAACAAGTACTCCTGATCTTCTCACCTCAGTAATCCTTCCGAATTGCTATTTTTAAAACCATATTCCACACAAATAATTGTTGTCCCCAAATTATCAAAATTATTAGAGCTCTTAATATTTACCCAAGGACGATTCAAAATAAAATGGTGAGGTTACATCAAACAATTTAGACTGTCCAGCAAACACAAGGTGGAAGCTGACGGCAGATGGATGGATGGACAAGCCAAGACGATAGCAGCTCAACACAAAGAGGTGGCTGAGCAAAGGGATTAGAAATATGTTAA